AAGGTTCATTGAATGGGTTTTCATACAGCAATAGCCACACGGTGAGACTAAGAAAACAGCATGAATGATATCCTGCAGAGTGGTGTATTTCCCTTTCAATGTGTTAGGAGAACGGCGACAGAACTAAAGCAAAGCTCAAATGTTAAAATCAGCTCAATGAAGCATGTCATTTCAGTTACCTCTATCGCAGTGTAACAGCTAGAAAACAAAGAAAAGCCCACGCTATCTGACTAGCCATCTCTTCTCAGACAACTACCCAGTGTTTCCCAGTATCAAGTAACATGCTTCTTGTTATCTTCTGTCCAGCTGTCTAAGGACTCATCAAGATACGAGGATGTGCTCTCAAGCACGCAGTCAGAAAAAAAGCTGGAGTGCAAACAAGACTATTCCTGCCTCTCTGTATTAACAGGAAGTTATTTGTTTTTATGGAGGCAACGCAGCTTGGAAGAGGGATAGAGGAGCCCTGCTCTGCAGGTCCAGGGAGTTCAACCAGAGGGCAAAGCTTCCCTGAGGGTATTCCGTATGAGGGAGAGACACAAGTTAAGCTTCTTTTTGCCTCCTCATAAACATAAATCTGGAGCTCTGGGAAACTGTATGGCAGATATCAGGAAAAAAGCAGAACTAAGTGATTATATAGAAAAGTAACAGATTTTGAAAGGCATTTAATAGAGCGCATCAAAACTGCACAAAAGCAAGTTTCAGGGCATCTTTTTCGCAGTGTGGTCAAAGCTGCAATATGGGCTTGGACTGTGAACAAAAAATTCCCTTGCAGGCACCTAAAACTAGCATGCAATATTTCTTGACATTAACTACTGTCTAATAAGGTAGATTCTACTTACAAAGAGCTTACATCTCGTGAGTTAAGGACATCACAATTGGATTACAATAAATAAAGACAGGCAAAAAAAAAAAAAAAAGCCTGTTGGATTTGTTAGCCAGCCTGCCTCACCACAGGGCTGTACCTGTTCTGTTGCTTCCCCTTCACCCTGGTCCCCTTTCAAGTTTTTCCCAGAGGTCAGTTCTTCCCACGTAAACAGCAAGGAGTCTGTTACTTCACCAAATGGGTTAAAATCTATTAACCAAATTTTACCCTGCAATAGAACAATAGAAGAATTAAAAAAAAAAAAGAAAGAAAACAAAGCAGAATACACACATATTATTGTAAAATGCTTGGTCTTTAGATAAAATGATGTCAAAATTGAAATCACCTGGTTTTAAGCACTTAAAACATCCTAACTTCCCTTTCATTAGACACAGTTTTAAAGCACAGCAAGCTATGACTGACTATTTTATTTATTGTTTTTTAAACAGAAGATCAGACAGAGATCAAACAAACTGAATTCACTTCTATGCGAGGTGATTTCAGATAACCACAGAAGTTCTGTCTAATGTCCATGGTCCAAGATCCCCAGGCATCATGAACAAGGAACGGAAAAAACAACAAAAAAACCCCACCACACACAAAAAAAAAAAACCAAAACCAAACCAACCAACCAAACAAAAAAAACCCACAAAACCAATCCAAACTAAAAACCCCACCAAAACAGCGATTTTGCTTTCCGTCAAAAGCCACCTCAGCACTGCTGTACATCCAGCAGTCTACAAGAACTGCTGTTCTTGACCTCAGAACGGACTCTAAAAATACACAGCAGGGTCTGCAAAATGCACGTGGAGATCATGAAAGCTGAAAGGTGCTGTACAAATATAGATAAATAAAGAATAACTTATAGGCGTTTTTAATATAGCCATTACTAGTAGTCCAGACTAGTTTCTCCTGCCTCATCTTTAACACATTTGTGCTCCAAACAGGTCTGGTAGTACGCACAACAGCACGGCTGTTTCACAGCTGAAAAATGAAAGCAGAGAGACTAACACGGCATACTAAAAGGCAACAGAGACGTCTGCAGGGGAGCAAGAAATAGTTTGCGTTCCTCAAGTCATCTCAAGATACAACCCTCAGCACAGGGCCATCTTTTCTTACCCAAGAAAGTGCCATCTATTCTAATTTAAGAAAAAATATATTATAAATTATAATGAAATATGACTACAACTGCTAGTAAGAATTTGCAAAATAAGTATTACATCTGGAATAAACCAGATCCATCAAATACGGAAAGAATAAGGTTGCTGTAACACAAGCAGGACCAAAAGGTTTTATTGTGTTTATTGAAGATCAACTGGAATTGGAAAACAAACCTGAAGATTACGTAGCTAAAAACTTATTTTGCTTTCTCTTTCTTTCCCTCATTCCTGAAGGATCTTTTTTCTTTAAAAGATCTTCCCCATCTCGATACAAACAGCAAGTCTCTTCAATGATTTACACCACAGCCATCTGGTTTCCAACTCACAAAGATACTTTTGAAGCCTTCAGTCAGAGTAACGTGGAGACTTCCTCTCCCACCCACACTACCTAAGGCACCCCCACAGGCACTAACGCACTATAGCATAGGAAACGCACGGAAACCCATACAATAGAGAGCAGAAATGCTCTGCCTGGTCTGTTATCATCCGTAGCGAGTTACTCATGCAGATGGGGGGGAGTCCCAGCACAGATGAAACCAGTGATATTACTTGTAAACTGGAACGGAGCCAGCACCCCGGCTGGTGAGTGTGGTTGCACACAGGCTTTCTCTCAGGGCAGATCCACGAGGTACAGCTCTCGCCTAGCAGATCTGAAGAAGCCAACGCACCACAACAGCAGTAGTGAAACCAGATGGCTACAAAAGCAACTGTGACCTGCAGGGACACAGCCCGGAGTGGTTTCTTACTTGTTTCAGAAGGGTGAAGAAGCGCAAATATGTATGGCTAAGTTGCAACACCTCTGCACTGATACTGACATCATCGGTGCCGAGAGCGAACAGGGGCATTTTCCACCTCCATCCCTCTTCAAAAGGCAGTCACAAATTCTCATTATAAGAGATGTTTTACTTTTGCTAATGGGGACATCTTGTTAGCTCCAAGGCAGCAGGAGGAGGAATCTGTAATTTTAGATTCATTCTACCACACCAGAAAAAGCTGGGTAATGAACCAATTTAATCACAGACAGAAGCAATGGCTGAAAAAGTTCGTCCAGCAGTTCAGAGAATCTTTCCTTGAATCAGAAATGTTTACACTCAACAAAGGACTTCCCTATGAAAGGCTTTCACAGAGACTCCTCCTCACCCCAAACACATGAAACTCAGCTTTTCATAGGAACTCAAGATCACTTCTCTAGAGAAGAAATGTACCCTGGAAAAAACTGAACATCTGTTCTGAGGCTACTGAGAGTGACACTGGTTTTTGTGAGCACCTAGCAGTAGTTCTCCCTCCCTGCAGACAGCAGTACACCGTCTACAACAGGAACTGAGATGGTTTCCTTAAGATGGTCTTAAATCTGTACGGAGTTTTGGTAGCTGCAGATTGATGAGAAGTAGCAAAAACCCCTAAATATCCCTTTTCAGAGCTCTTTAAAGGGAGTGTATATAACTCTGGGTCAGTAACCAAACTGTCTTTTCTTAAGATTAAACACAAAAAAAACTCTTTCAAGTCTTACATGCAATGTCATGATTTAAATGTAGTTTCAGATGACTTGCACTGTGTATCTAAAGAGCAGTAGTAAAGCTATTTATCTGCCATCTTCTAGTATTGGCAATCTTTGTCACATGAGAGCACAGATATGCACAAGCCAGGAAAGCAAAGTTGTGCATATCTGGAAGGGAAAAAAAAAAAACCCAACAAACCCCAACCTGTTTTCAAAAGGATTTTTTTTTTTCTCATTCTGTAACAGGAACCAATAGATTTACCAGATCCTGTCAGCTTCATGCTTTGTTTTACTAAACCATTAAGCAACATGCTGCTGAAAGGAAGTGCCTACGACAAAGACTGTTTAAAGGAAGTTAAAAGATAGATAAAATGCAAACTGAACTGTTACATCTCCCTAACCAGCTGCACCTTCACACACAGTGACAAGGCTCACCAGGCAGAGACACAGGCACTAGTTTGCACCAAGAGCTAGCTGTGAGCTAGCGGTGGTTTGGATCCACTCACTGCATTTCTTTGTCTTACCACAGTGACTTGTCTTGAACACGGTTACAAGTTGTTAACACCTGGGAGACAGGCAAAGAGCAACAGCAGAGCTGATTCTCAGGCTTGTCAGCTGTTGCACAGCAATTGTGAACCACTAGCAGCAAGAAAAAAAAAAAAAAAAAGATGGATCCAAATGAAAACAGGCTACTAGTCCTGCAACAGAACCTCTTCAGGACTAGGGCTCCAGGTCACCCAGCTTGGAAGACTGCAGCGCTTCTTCCTTAAAAGATGACTTGTCTGCAAAGTCAGGCATGAGCTCAGACGAGCTCGGTGAAGAGAGCCAACAGGAAAGGCGGACACATAAAAGCTGGTTCTGAACCAGGCCTCCGTTGTTTCTATGCCACCCTCCAACCCAACGAGCAGGACCTGCGGCAGCCTACTCCATAAGGTCTCTCGAGTAGCTAAAGCAAGCACGGGGAGGGGGTTCCTCTCATTCTCAACCACATCCAAGAACAAGCTTCTCCAAAGTGAATATTTAGAGTTGAAAGAATTTAAAATAAGCAGACACTGGACAGTTCTCTCATTCTGTAGGTGAGGTTGCTGTGCAACCAGCCTGAGGAGGAGCATGGGCTCTGGAAATTAATCACACTCGGCAGCACTCAATATTCTTTTGCTGCCTATAACTCACATAGAACGGGAGCGATGAATAATACAGTTGCAAACCACAAAAGTATGTGCGAAAGGAGGAGGATCTGACACACAAAGCACTATCTGGCAGTTTACAAGTCCTCAGGGTAGAAGGCACGGGAGAGATATCTACAAACAGATGTATTTTATCTTGACAGGTGAAGAAACACTGCTCATTTGAGATCACACAGGCTGAAACCTTTTAGTTCAGTAATCTGTCTTCATGCCTCAGCTGTGAGGCAGAGTACCCAGTGGCAGAGCCTGGTTCAATGCTGAAGTGTTGTTCCTCATTTTGCCTTACAGCATCCTGAAGTCTGATGATCTGAACCCAGATAATTTTCATTACCATTCAGCATGGCTGGTTTTACCCATAGCCTAATTAAGGTACCTACATTAAAAGTTGCGCTGAGTAACAGTACAACAGTTGTTTTCCACATGACACACATTCCTGTTTAGTTTCTGCTTTGCAAACTATGGCATGATTTACTATTATACAATTACAAAATACTTGAGCAACATTCAGAGTCAGGACTTACTACAAACAGTCCCAACTCAACTCAAATAAAGACCTTCTCCAATCCCATAACTGTGAACAAGTCAGTCAGACTCATAAACGTATATAGCAAAAGCATATAGCCTTTTTTTTTTGCATTTCTGGTTTAGAATTTGGAAAAAAAAAAAATTAAGCTAAACCAAAGACCTACTTCTCATGCACTAATGTGATTTCCCAAATCAGCTGTCATTCCCAAGATCAACTTTTGAGATTTAAGCTACATAATGCATTTCTGGTTGTGTGCTTTTAAAACAAACACATGTGTGCCTTTCAAGCACAATTCATCTCTCCTACTTCTCTCCACCGACACTAGGAGAGGTCAAGGTGACTAACTCTGATACTGGCACCTGCCCTTCAGATGGGACATTTCTCCCCAATCCATCACTATCTGGATGTTCAGGGTTCTGATCTGCCGATTGCTCAGAACCACAGCCGGAACCGTTTGAAAAGAAAAAATTAGCTTCCATCTGGCACAAACTGGCCACACCACATTCATACACTCTTTTGACAACCATCCCTTCATACCCTAGACTTCCATACAGGAAGTACAATTTATCATTTTCCAACCTCACATGGATAATCTGAAGAAATATTGATGATTAGTTTTGACGAGTTCAGATGCTATAGGGAAAAACATCACAGATGTTTTTAGTGAGCAAAATATCAGCCAAAATATTTTTTGGAAAGTCACAGCCATTCTGCCTGAGTGTTCAGATATATTTCTGTCAAAAGGACCCAGAGTAAGCACTATGCAGAAGGAACCTTAGCAACAGGTAGTGCTTTGCTAAAACAATTCAGTAACATTGCATGATACTGATTAAGTACTTAACAGAAAATGCCCCAAGCATGTTGGTGTTTAAGAGGTATTTGGACAATGCCCTCAATAACATGCTTTAATTTTTGGTCAGCCCTGAATGGTCAGGCAGTTGGACTAGGTGATCATTGTAGGTCCCTTCCAACTGAAACATTCTAGTCTATTCTAAATTATTTCAGCAAAGACTCTCCATGTCACAATGAAAACTAAATTGCCTCCAGTAAATTCACAGAACTGACAGAATTCCAGCTGAAGCCAAAGTTAAGCGCTTTAAAACCAGACTATTTCTCTGGAAGATATTTACTAAATAATTACATCACTGGCACAGACATATTTACACCCCTAATACTATTGTTCTCCTACTGTAGAAAGTGTCTAACACAGAAAAAGACCTGGGGAACACAATGATAACATCAAGTAATAGTTTGTTTTGTTCGGGTTTTTTTTTGCTAGGATCATTTCTAGGAAGATGAAGGTATTATTTGTTTCATCTCTAGCATTTCAGGAAGAGTTTCCACAGAACAAACAATTATGTACAGACTATTGTTCACTTACCCTGCTGTCTCTGTACACATCAAAAACAACTGAAAAGGAGAAAAAAAAAAAAGTGTTAATCTTAAAAGATTTATAGTTTCACAGAAGATGTCTAAATCTGAATAGATACTGCTGTACACAGCACAATCTGCAAAGTCGTATGTCTAAAGAACTGGAAGCCAGAATTAGGTTCGTTTCCAAGAGGGAGTTGAAACATTTCAAGAACTACTGTTAATGCACTGAGAGACAGGCTGCCAGGTTTTTCCAAATAATGCTGGTGTCTTCTGTTGAATTTTCCCCCAATGAAGAACATTTGATAAACGCTCAGCGACATTACTGCTGTTTGCTTTAGAGCAGAACAGAGAAATTTCAAGGAAGGATCAAGACTCCACTGTGCTCAACACTGCACAAACATTTAGTAAGAGAAAGTTCCTGCTTGACGGAGATTAGGGCTTCAGCAGATAACAAGACAAACAGGTTGCAGGAACAAAGGGGTCAGCGTGCTGAGGAGGAGGTGGCAGTGAAATGGCTGTGTTACTGCAACCCACAGCAGATACAGCACACCTACTGATTATCAACAACTCTTTCAAACAGACCCTTTGCTACTCGGTGACTGAAGCAGAGCTGATTTGCACAGCTCCATTGTTTTCCCTCCCCTTGGCTTAATTAAGCATGAACCTTTGTACATGTATCTCCCTATTAGCTTCTGTTCTGTCTGGTTAAACGAATCTTTGTCTTTCTATTCAGCAAGGGAAATCAACAGATAAGCATTCAAGCGTGACTACATGCAGAAGTTGTACCAGTTTAGCAGAAAGAAAGAAAAAGAAAAGCCAGATTTAGAAAAACCTCAGACAAATGCTGTATTGTCACTTCCTTCACTAATAAGGAAGGGAATATTCCAGCTAAGAGATTTCCCAATACATGTGGGATAAACTAAACTCAGGATATGACTGAAGAACACTTGAGCCTCTGCAGCTACTCAGGAAGCTGCCCATCAGTAACAGGGATGTTCATTGGTCATGTTCAGGCATGTAAAGCTACTCAGCAGCCTAATCTATCATTTCATGTGAAGCTGGTGGGCAAAACCACAACTCAGCAGCACCAAAGCCAGTCACGTAACCGCTTTTTGCAGAAGCTCAGTTACGTCAATTTAAAATGTCACTCCGGAATTAAGTGCTACATTTTCTCGAGAAGATAAGCTAAGTAAGTCATCCATACAAAGAGGAGCCCAGCAACCCTACATTTCTTCTCCAGATGTTCAACTGAACTTGTTGCCTGTACTGTGTACTCTCATTAATCATGTTTCATTAATGGAAAACTTGCATCTGAGCTTTATTACGAAATGATGCCTGTCAGCTTAAAGCAAGTCTGTGGCAATCATCAAGGCGAACAGCATTTAGTGGGATTTCCATCCCCATAAAGACTGACTGCACATTGGTGACTAGCTCAGGACACTCACAAACACTGAAGAGAGAAGGAAACCTGAACTGTTCTCTCTTCTTAGGGACCACCTCAGAGCAGGAGTGTCACGTGCTGGCAAGACTCTAGTAAAACTTTACCAGCAGTTGCTCCAAATGGAGGGTAAGCCAAGGCTTGACTCTACAGTAAGCATTAATACCTCCGGAACACTGTTCTTACTGGGCTCTTACGAAAGGTACTTAGAAGGTTCTAACATCATTTAGAAGTATTTATAAAGCATTCACCCATCTGTTATCCTACTGCTCTTACTCTGCAATGCTTCAGCTGCTCTGACTCAACTCTTCCATCTGGAGATGCTACCAGACCAACTGGAAAAAGCAGAGCAAACAGCATCAAAATCCCCAATGAAACAAGAAGTCAGAAAAAAAGCTCTAATACCTTTCCTTTTAAAAGCAAACAAACAAGCAAGGCCAGATTTTTATTTTTAACAACACATATGCTACCAGACAGTGGATCAAGGGATATGACAGGAGAAGAACGAAGGGTGGTAAATCAATGAGAAAACATTTTCTGCATGGCATTTCCCTGCAGATGGACATGTCACCAGCATTTAGTGCCTAAGAACAAAAGGCTAACAAACCTTCATCCCAGAAGGTCACCCTGAAACCTCCTTTTCCCAGAAGGTAACTCAGATGGCATAGTTTTATGTCCTTTACATAAGGCGACACTTCAGAGCTTTCAGTTCACCAGACAGCAGTTCCAGAGCCTAAATCTAGGCATCAATTTCCAAAAATAGCGCCCTGAATTCTTATCTATCAGTTGATTATATACTAGCTAAAATTACGTTGGAACTCAGAGGAAAATTAAAAGACAGTGATCAGATGACAGAATGTCAGATCTATATGACTGATCTTACTTCAAAACATTAGGGCTATGGACCTATTAAATTAGTATACTGATTTCCAGACTACTAGTCTTCTCCAAGCAGTGGTCCTTGAGAAATTCTCTGGACTGAAACAAAGGAACCCTGCAGAGTCAAATTAAGGATTTTAATATAATAGAGAAGGGCATTAGAAGGTATCTTTTTCAGAAAGTCAGAAAGGACAGGTCTATTTGACTCCTCTGGTGGCTCAGCAAAATAATTAACCATGTTCAAAACTTACCTAAAGATTGAGTATTCAAAGCTTTATATAAAGACAATACAACTGATATACAATTCTTATGTATTTTACTAAACTGAAGTTTGGCTGACATCAAACCCAATTTAAGTTCCTTGATCATATTTTTCACCACTCCTGATCATCCATCACCACTGAACACTGTTCAGTTCTCACTCAACCACATCAGGAAAGTATCTCCAGTAAGATTTACAAAGAACTCCATATTTAAAGAACCAAGCAATGTACTTGGGCTGCCTAGGTGTATCAACTATCATGGCCTTTATTCAAAAGTTTCAGCAGCTAAACTGCTGTGCATCAATATTCTAGGAGCAATGATGACAATTTCTTGAAAAGAAACTTACAAATCCTTTCTTCAAGAAATACTTCAATACATCAATAATTCAGCAGCAAACATCTGACATCTTTATAAACAAGTATTCTTCTTACTACTGAATGCCTTTTGTTAAGCACTCCCGACCTCCTCACTTCTCAGGTTTAGAATTTTTCTTCATTAAAAGTAAGTATAAGTGGAAGAAGCCTTATTAAAAAAAAAAAAAAAAGTTATTATGCCTTCTGAAGGGATCTTTCACTCACACACTGTGTTTTCCTGGAAAGCTCCAGCCTATTCCTTCAGGGCTTTTTGTTCCCAGTTTTACAGTTGTTCAAAAATGACATTGCTCTGCATGCTCTAGCCACAACAGCTGTAAGACTGTCCCAAATTAAAAAGAATCAAGCCCTGTGAAAGCAATAGCTGTGAAGAGAGAGATGCATAACCACAGGCTTAAAATATTGAGAATGCCATTATTTTTTTAAAAGTACCCGTTCTTCCGCTAATCTCCAGCAGTAAACTGGAACATAGCACAGTGCAACTCGGTGTGCTGTGGAGGAAACGAGCCAGCAAGAGCAAGGGGGGACAAGCTCAGGTCTCATTTCGGTGGCGTTTGCCCTGCAAGCTGTTTCAGTGTCCAATCTCCCAGCACCCTGCAAAAGAACTTCAAAGAGGTTTCTGGCTTTAAGTCTTTGGAACTAGGTGTGCACTACCTATTTAAAAACCTTCATAAACATCCTCCTTCCCTCCCCCATGCTCCCCTTGCTAACTGAAGCTTTAAGATACTTACAGTCTTCATCCAAGAATTTATACTGTATGTGTTTCTTGAAAAACTCCTGTATTGATCTGCAGATCTCCTCATGTTGCTTAGAGATATGATCGTAGTATTGAGTGTAGTCCCTCTGTGATATACCTGTCAATAATTTTAGTTGATTATAAAGAGCTTTAGGAATGCAAAAAACCCAACCAGACAAAATGCAGTTATCAGACATAAGCATGTTATAATCTATATTTCAGAAGACAGAGTTCTCCCAAGTTACAACCATTACCAATGACTTCTTGTTTGGCTTTATTCTCTTATATTTAAAACACTTCCATTAGGAATCTCTTCCTTGAACAGTTCTGCCCTATATTTTGTGAACTTCATTTTATATGTACACTCTTTGACTACTTTAAGTGAATTCCAGAAGGAACTTTTGCCTGCATTTAAGTTTCCAATTCCTGCCTTTTCCTTTCAGTTTTATTCCCCCTGGTTACTCTGGTCAAAAACCTTTTCTGTTCTGCACATCAGATGTAGGGACCAGAATTTGGAAATATGAAATGAAAGGGATAGGGGCTAAGATTGCACATTAGCAAAGATGATAGATCCCAGCATACCATAAAGATTCTCATTTAACCAATTTTTTAAGCGTGGAATAACACAGACCTGTTTGATAAGGCACTACAGGTGAGACCTTAAATCCTAAAATCAACGAGATGGCATGCAGTCTAGTACCTTATTTCTTCCATCTGCCCACCTCAAAGGCTGTTTTGCATATCTGACATTAGATAAACTATCCCAGCTACATCACAAGCTCTTCATTTCAGACATTTGTTTGTCTACATGACAATAGTTTAAGTTGACATCAACAGGATTATACACTTGCATGCATCCTAAGTGACATAAGTTCTCATACAGGATGTGTCAACATAAGCTGGACAAATGTCAAACCAAGACCTTCCTCATCACTGCAGAATGAGTAACTCGTACTATTTAGCAGCAGAAAAAGCCAGAATCCCCCAAGAGAGCTGTATTAATGATGGCAGTTTGCTATTTTAATGTTATACAAAACACAGATTAAGTTTTACTGTAAGACAATGCTGACCACCTGCAAAGACTTGCTCTTTTAAAAAGTTCATACAAAGTTTAGGATATCAGTGAAACTTTGAATTATTAATACCACTGCAAAGCTTAACTTGGGTCTAAAAACAAACAAACAAACAAAAAAAAAAATCAAAAGATGGTGGCATCTTAGGGGATACAAACGTGTAACTGGAAAAACATTCACTACACTGTGCAAGTATCACTCCTTAGTTTGACTGACAGGCATGGGAACATATCGTGAAAAATCTTGTAGCTGTCTTCAGAAATGCAGCTGGAGTACTAGCTAAAAAAACCCCATCCAGGTAGATCTACTAGGTTTCAAAACCCAGTAATGAAACATATAGAGTGGTTAATTAGCCAGCGTACAAACGCTTTGAGGTATTTGAAAATAAACATCACTAGATAGATGTTCCATAATAAATCTACATTCAAATGTTTTAGAGGTTATTACGGTGATACAAGTATCTGGCAGTTGTCGTGTTCCAGCAGCACCTAACAGGACAGGATTCAGCACTTCCCCCGTGCAAAAGCTATTTCAGCAGCCATTAGGCAATACCAGCTTAATGGAGAATCTCTGTTACAAAGAACTGTCACAAACCCTGCACTTGGCATGAATGGAGAGAGAACGGGAAGAGGAGTGTGGAAGCACCACAAGAAACAGCCAAATAAAAGGGCTATGGCAATGGTATGTGTTGACAGCACCTAGATTAGCACATCCCAAAACATCTACGTGCAGCTCCACAGGACACCCAGATCAGGAAACAAAGAACAGGGAGTCAGTTCCTAATGATTCACAGAGCTGGGACAGGATGGAGAGACAAATTGCTGGCAGCTCCTAACAGGTACAAAACAGCACATCCAAAACAAGCACAGAGTCACCATGCTGAGAAGCAGCCAGAAGAAACAACGAGGACTAGATAGCTAGCTAATATCCCTCCACCTCCATATCATCACAAGGAATCCTAGATAGACCACTTGTATATATGCATCTCGGTGCTTGTGAATATGTAAGTATAAGACAGACAAAATGAGCAAACTTGGTTTTGTTTCAAAGCAAAAAATCACCTTCCTTCCTATAAAGTCTGGATTAGAGTTTTGCTATATATTAGAAAAATTTAGGCAGAATGATTCAATCTTGTTAAGGACAAATATGCACCAGCCCTGTGCTATTTACATTTCTGTTCATCTTTCAAGATTGCATGACAGACCACACCAAGAACAAATTCAAACTCCAGAACAGTATTTACCCTGAAATGAAATCCCTCAATTCAAGAACCTGTGTGTGCACTAGATGCCTAAGCTCCTGCTATAGTCAGCAGAGAATAGTCAACACATCTAGAGGAGTACAACTCAGCTGAAGTTACCCTAGAGCTACCTAAAATACATGTTGTAGCACAATCTGCCTGTCCTCTACCCGTCACGGGTGTCCCGATGCACCCACCAGCTCTCTGCATGCTGTGGATACCCCAGCTGTTCAGTGTCGCTTCAAACACTTTACTTTTCGGACTTTGAACCAGAGTAACAGATCGGCAGGTTTTCTGACTAAGCTACACTGAATATAATACGAGCTCAGACACCTTTTAGTCCTGTGGACATGTTCTGACCTCCTCAACTTTCCACATAGAATATCCACATGTGGTCACGTTTTATCAGCATAATACCCAACTCCTCTGTATTCATTCTGCAAGTTGGAGATGATGCACTTTGCTCCTCAATATAAAAGAATCACTTGCAAAACAGCCTTTGGGTGAAGTTTCTGAATTGGCAATTAGAATTAAAAATATTCCCGCTGTAATACTGAGCGTGCTATGTCATCAGGCTTTCAAATACAGTGGAAAGAGAAACATGGCATGCCACATTTTAAATTACAGAACAAAGAAGGAAAAAAAAAATTCCAGAAATGAGGTGTGTGAAGAAAGAACTGTCTTCATCTTTAGTGCTGATTCAAGGGATTAGAGAAGCTCCTCAGAACTTGCACCTAATAATTTTATCTTTAAGAAAATCCTTACCTATAAGTTTGTTTTCCTTGACAAAGCATCTGAATTCTGCACCAGGGATTAGTTCACACCATTTGCGAAGAACAAGCTATAGAGGAAAAACAAGTGACAAAGTATTGTTTCAGAAAGTAACAGGTAACTTTTTGATACCAGGTATACCTTCTAGAGCTACAGGTTTGCTGTAATGATACGACGACCTCCGAAGTTACTCCTGATACAAGAAAACAAAACAATCTTAACTTGCAGTTCACATAATCATCTTAACAAATAGTTCAAAGCAATTAGACTTAATTTCACAGAATCACAGAATGCTTTTGGTTGGAAGGCGCCTTTAAAAGACCACCTAGTCCAAACTAGTTTAAAGTAGAAAGGTTCAGACTGGACATAAGAAACTTTTTCACCATGAGGGCTGTCAAGCACTGGAACAGCTCCCTCGTAGAGGCTGCGCACCTTCCATCCACTGAGGTTTCCAGACCAGATTTGATAAAATGCCAGGCAACTCGATTTGATTTCATTACTTACCCGGCTTTGAGCAGGAGAATGGACTAGAGACCTCCTGAGGCCCTTTCCCACCTTAATAATCTTATGCTTTTCCACTTTGTACGGCATTTCTAACTGTGAAATTATTTATGAAATGACTTCGAAGTTACATCAAAGGACGGAAAACAAAAACCCTGCTGTACAACACAACAATCTGTCACGGAATTGGCAGAAAGTTGCTCCCTAGTCAAAAGAGCTGATGAGCAGAATTAAATTTAACCAAATCAACCTCTATTCTGGTATACACCCAAGCAGATTTCTGTGACGCCTTTGAAGGCGCAAACCAGTTAAAATAAGGACACAGGATAGAAATAGTAACCAAACTATTATAGTCAATAGGACAGACTGCCTGGTAATTAAAGCATCTCTCTGGCACTTTCTCAAGTTTCTGCATTTCCTAAGCTGAAGGATTCAGATGGATCCATTATTTTGAAGGCCTCAGTTACTGCTACTGGATATTGGAGACTCCCAACACCTCTCACCTGCAGCAGAAAAACCTCAGTAATCAAAGATGACATTGCTAACTACAGTGTAAACATGAAACTCTTTGTTCCAACTTTTAGATGTCCTGTATCCTTAAAGCACATTAGATAGTGCTTTAAAAAAAACAGAGTTCATTCATTTTTCTAAAGCCCTTTAAGCCCACAGGATGATGACAAATGTTGTATTTACATAAAAATTATTATTAGAGAAATGACTAGATGCTATTATAAAAGCAACAGCACCACAGGAATGGTTTAATGCATTGTTAATATCTCCACCACTAGCTTAACATTTTAATCTGGTAAAGAGCCTATGAAACAAGATATGATAGACCAGTTCAGAGTGTCCCCAGCCACTACAGCTACCTTCTCTCTTCATGACCTCAGCTGTGATACTCACAAGCAGCATACTATCAAGAATATACAACTTTCAGCTACTGAACTTGTCCTTCCTGGCAAAACCTGACAGACATGAGAAGAAATGCCAAGGAAGCTTCAAAAGTCTGATCCGTGGCTCATCTGATCTGTAATTAAAGGAACTCCTTATGACCTGTAGTGTTGAACCAGATTTCCTCACAATGCCCAAGCCACACAATCAAAGCAAACACAACAAATTCTATGGGCACATGCCCAAGCACAAACAGCACCCTGCTCACAAGCAATTCATTTAAATTACCCAGAAATCATGCAAAGAGTCCTACCTCATAGTCCAAGGAAGGATCAGGAGAATCATCAGTACAATGAATAAATCTGGAAAAGCAAGGCACAGGCATCAAAATCTGCTTTCGCATACAAGATTTTCGCCATAGTGAGAACAATAACTCCAAACAGTGACTCACAAAAACAGCTATTAAATTATCTCCAAGACATACAAACCAAGTAAGTTCAGTACATCAGTAACAAACTTCCTTTTGACAATTATCAGGGGGGGAATCACCACTTTTCATCTAGTGTAATTTGGAAGCACTGAAATTTGGACAGGGACACGGCTAAAAGGTAAGTATTTATTCATTGCTGAGTTTCTCCTTTTTGAATCAACAGCGCTGCTCCTTTCCTCTTTATTGTTATGGTGGCATGACTGGATTCTCAAAGAACCAGATAAACCTGAGCAACCTCATCTAGTTTCATTGCAGCATGTTTTCGCTAGTACTTTTAATGTTTAACTTCCTAAACCACACAACAGAGACACATCATCATGCCTTACAACAGTTTGTTTCCACGAGTAAGGGATGCAAAACAGTGCCACTCGGCACTTCTGCTTCCACAGCACAGTATCTTTCTAAATTAAGAGCCTTAAGAAATTCCCTTACAAATCTCTTGAGAGTGGGAATAAACAAAACTATTTCCATAACTGCAAGCAGATGTCAAGGTTTTGTCCCTTGTGAGTAGCTGACTCTGTGTCACCTTTCAGGAACTATGCCCAAGCCAACTTCTGCGTACCTTTTTGTGGTTTTACAGCAAACCTGGCAATGAATCCTGCAACTTTCAAAGAGAATCAGCAAAAGAACATCCATTTTCCTTCAAAGTGTGCTCCCTGACCTTATTGGCAACAAACCACTTTGATGCACAGAACTGTGTAAGGGGTCACTGCTGAGCAATAGCCCTAAATGGCAACAGTTATACTACCTCCCTTTGGCACGGAACTTGGTTAAGCAATCCAAAAATTTAACAGCTCCAATATAAGCATTGCATCTATAAGATGTGGCTACCCAGCCCTCGGTTTGAAGTGAAGAGCTATCATAAGAACTCATTCAGTATGCTGCCAGCCGAAATAAATTTCACACACTTTAGTTTAGACTTTAATGCCCACTACACGCAGAAAAGGGCGATAGCAGGCATGCTTTACAAAAGTACTGTAATCAAACAGATCATATATATCTGTAAGCCTATGTAAACAGATAACATCCTTCAACTACAGTTTATGTTCCCCACAATTTAAGATCTGTCAAGGCAATAGAAACAAACTCATGACAGCTTGCAGTTTTGCTAGACTCAAAATTCCTCCCTGCCTAGCATACAAGCCTACCATGCTCGAGAAAACATCCCTTCCCCCCAGAAAAAAAAAAAAATCATGAACTATATATATATAAAGTCCAGCACATGGAGTTTTACAGTCCCTGCACACTAGGACCTGTATTACTTCTCACAGGCTTCCATATCTGAGATCAGGGTACCTGCAATCCGCTTCATTCCAATAACACGCAGTCTCTTCTAGCAGTCAAAAAAACAGCCTTATGAACAATCAAAACTATCCCCTGCTCAACCCTCAAATGTTTTGGGTGAAAGCTATGTGGGCAAAGATACTTCCTCTTGCCTTATAAGTCAGAAATGGAAATCCTTGGGTGCCATCCCAAGCTGCACGGACTCTCAGGTATTGCTGCCAAATCAAGCAAACAGGCAAAATGATGAATATAGACAAAACCACTGCAAGACGCAGTAGTATTATTTTTCTTGAGCCTTAGTGACACAGGACTAAGTACAAATGAGGAAAAAATGGGAGAATGCAGCAAAGACAAACTCAGGTTTTTGTAGTCTCATTTCCCTTCTAAATAGTATCATGAGTTTTTGTTAACAAAAGGGCATTACTACCACCCCTGTTTGGGAAGTTAAGTTTGGGCAACTTGAGGTAGTCGCAATTTTATATTTTCTCCCTGCTTACTGTAGCATCAGTTGTTCAGACCCAGACAAATTCATCTATTAGACATGGCCTTTTGATCATAAGAGGCACAAGGCTAAGTGGGGTTTCTTAAACCCAGATCCTGTTCAGGTTTGAAAGAACAATTAGAAAGACTTCAGGAACCCAAACTGAGAGATATCTGGGCTCTCTTTTCTGAAGCCTTTGAAAATTGTCATATTGGGTACTACTAAAGGTGAAGGAACTAAACTCTAAGCCTTGTGCTGTGGTTAACAGCTCGTTTACACATTTATACTTAGATGTCAAGAACAGAAGGATCGAGGTCTCTACATGTAGCAGCTGTAAGTTAATATCCAAGCACACACACTTAACAACAGGACACACTACATGAACCCATTACACAGTTCAGTTTTCAACACTGACAAAGGCAATTTAAGGAGGTTTGCGAGACCTGCAGTATCTATCCTGCTAAGAGCACCATGAACTCATTTGCAAATCACCGAGATTATTCTGTGGATAATAAACTATTATGAATATAGTGAGAATTGTAAAAGTTACTCTGTACCTGACAGTTCCCCTGCTATCATCTCACAGTTTATTTTAAATCCTTAATTAAAAAAAAAAAAAAAAAAAAAGAGAAACTTCTAACAGCCTTTGAATTGCATCTTTATTTCTTGAATACTGAACCTTGCTGGAACTTTAAGGACTAAAAGAAATAGGAGATTCATGCACCATTCAAAAGAAGATCTTGTACTACACTGTACACTGTAAATTGCTAGGAAAAAAAGGGATGTGAGTAAAACCTCGAGAAAAAAAAACATCAAAGGCCTTATTTTCTATATCCTCTCGTATGGAACTATCTATCTTGAAACACTTTATACTAAAGTCTAAACCAACAGCTACTGTCCTTGCAAAAAAGTATCCAGAGAGCCAAATCACATCTTCATGAGCCAACACTGCCTCCTATGTTCTGTTAGGAGAACAGGCTGCTATTTCTCCACATCTCAGAAAAACATCATAATTTCTTTGTAATTTGTAATTCAGTATTTAGAAGCATTAAGTCTGGTACCAAAAATGTAGTCAGAATGCTAGCTTAAAAACACAAAGGACTGAAACATCTGCTAGGTTTTAGAACCAATGTGCTTAGGAGCCTGATGGGCTAAACCTCGCTCAAGAGCAGACTTTCTCAACTGACCTCAGAAACAGGCACTTAAATTTTAACCAAGCCCTCTTATAAACACCTAAATGAAAAAAATTGCGCCTCCCCTCACATTCCTTTGTATCCTGCACATTAACAGATTTGGAAACTTTTCCTTGGCCCAGTGGGGGTTGTTTCATCTGCTCCGTTAACCTAGCAGGTATTTCTTACCTACTAAACAGGTGGCTCCTTCACTCTCACCGGCTACTTTTACACTCTTTACTTCACCTGTCTAACCAGCTTCTCAAAAAGTTTTCAGGAATGAACTTCTGGAAGTAACAGGTCCAGAGCATCAGCTGGCCCAATAAGATATTGTGAGTCAATTTACAACACTTAAGTGCACATCAGAGAACAGCCATCCTTGCACGTGACTCCTACTGCCCATCTATAATAAGTCAAAGGGCAAAACCCAGCAAAGGATGTTCTCTGCATTAGGTTGGTTTTCAACAAGGTTGAACTTACAGGGCTTATTTCACCTCTGCGGTTGTGATTATTAAAAAAATGGAAAAATAAGAACACTTTAGCATTCAAAATCCCAATAGTAGCACCTGCAGTTTTAAAACATCCAGTATTGCCCTGTAAAACAGGAGCAATCTCCAAAGTCTGACATTTCCAAGGTTTATTAATGAGCATGGTATAACAACGAGCTTATCTTGTAACTGAATGGGCATTATCACATCATTAAAACTATTGCTAATATTTATACCAGTCTCAAAGTGAGCAATCGTCGTAACAAAACGTAGTCTACAAATTCTAACAATAAGGCAGAAAGCTGTGTTCCAAACCAATACACTCAACAGGGTTTTAAAAGGATTTTTTGTTCAAAAGAGGAATTTTAATCACTTAACTGAAATTCCAGTTAGAAAGGGATTTATTTTATATCGCATATCCACAACACTTAGTTTTTGAAAGCCTACGTTAAAACCTGAAAAGTTAAGGATCACACCACCCACAAGTTTTTTTTATTAACTCCGCTAAGTAAAATGCAATGCTTACTTTGAAGCAGAACCAACATCGACTACATTAAGGAATGCATTGCTCTGAAGTCTTTGTTAATTTATACAAAATTAACAAGGAGGAAAGTTAACTCATTATTCTGAACTTTTCAACCAAACAAAGTGTCAGCATCGTGAGAGAATCCAAACATTTAAAATAGCCAAAGCTTATCTAGTCAAGCCTTAGTATATTTGCATTAAGGCCATATTTTTTAATGGTTTGCACTGAAGTATTGCATAGCTGAAGTTTTCTCAGAACTTGAGATAGTTGAGAATTACAGCAAGGGCAGTTCCCTGACCTGAACAATGTATAGATCGATACCAGATAAGCAGATAGGAAATGGAGGAGGAAGGAAGAGGGAAAGAAAGTGGTTTGCCTCATCTGACATCACTGGCAAAGCTGTATTAAGAAACAGATCTTCAAATTGCCGTTGCAAAGTCTTTCCCATATTATGACCCATGAAGTGGATTTTTAAGTTAATACAACTGAAAAGAAAACAAAACAGGTCTACAAATTTTCATCTGTTACTTATGTAGGGCAAAAAACTTCTAGACCACACCGAGTATTAACGAACGAACTAGAAATACGGTGCATTTATCCACCCTCTGAGTAGTCCTTCCAAGGGATTTGGACGTATTATGTATCCAATTTTCATTTGTTCAGCACTTCATGTTCCTATGCCAGCTACATTTTTAATTTCTGCTTGCTAAGGACTAGGGAACAGGCAACTAATCAATAGTATAATTAAGGAAGACCGCTGCTCTGATTCAGCAACAATCATTTCACTGGGTGGGGACATTTTGTACAAATAACTTAGTAATTTAGAAATACCATGCACAGACTGGACAATCATATGTACTTTAATCAAGTACAACATATTCATAAAATAGAAGATACATAGAGACCAAAGTGATTTTACACATTACACGCTCCCTTAGTGTACGAACTTCCATTCAAAGGGAAACCACAAGGCTGCACTGCCCACATTAACCCTACCTTACCAAAAAAACAAAGCCTGTTCTGACAAAAAAGAAAAAACAACATAACCCAAATTTATACCAACATTAGATTAGAATTAGACTTTAAAATATAACATTTCTCAGATGAAACTCAACCTTTATAGTAGGTGATGACCCCACAATCATGTCACAAGGTTTGCTGATTTACCACCCACTAGCTGAGCTGTGCTATTTGGCGGTGCATGTGGTCTTGTCACACTGTAAGAGGAGTCTAAATGGATTGGATCACCGCAATCTGAGGTGTTGACTTCCTGCTAGAGGTTATTCTCCCACAGCAGCATCAGTAGAAGACAGCGTGCCTGCTACATGCTGCTCAGCCACCAGTGTTCTTAATCTGGTGTGAACTTCAGGTGAAATTACTGGTGGCTCAAGTTAACACCCATGCTGTGAAATCTCACAACACAGGAGCTAGAATGCATGCATTGCCTCTGCCACTAAGTCAGCACCATCTGCAGAGGGCAAGGTGAGTAGCTGAGGCACTAATTTTACCTGGTACGAGATAAAACCTGACAGAAATTGCGCTGGTTTCAGTCTCAGTGAAGGTGGTTGAACCAACTCATTCTACCATACAAACGGCATAAACTACGAGCACAAACACACACACAGAGTTGCCATATCTTCCAAATCAAGTGGTGCTGGCTAAACACTCGATTGTGTCCCAAACTCAAACTCATTAGAAAGTGGTTAATCAAAGGAATTCTCCAAGGAGCTCAGGGTACTTTTTGCTGAACCTCTTTATACATGAGGATAGTAGAATACAAAACCTGCGCTATTTAATATTCACAAAGGGATGGTACGAAGTACACAGTTCTTTTTGGGCCCACAAGACTCAGTCCTGAAAGCAGTTACAGCAAAGGACACATTAAATTTTAGTGCTCAACCCTCTGAGCAAACCCATCCTCAAGACACCTGGCCAAGTCACCTACCCTCCCATTAGGGGAAAACATGAAAAAAAGTTCCTTCATAAGGCACCAAAGTCTTCTGAAATCACTATTTACTCATGTCTGAAGTGTGAACTGCAGATTTCTCATCTCTTCCACCCCTTTCATCCTCTGTGATCCCAGAATCATGAATTCTCAACGCTTACAATTGTTTCCCTACTCCAACATTTCAAACTGCTCTCACTCCAACAGCTTCTCCCCTCCTTCCCAGTCTCTTCCCGTGCACCTCATAATGTTGTAGGTCAGATATAACATAAAACCCTGCATCGGAACTGGACTGACAGCGTTCGCTAGCACTCCATAAATGCAGAGATAAGGATGAAGATGTTGCTACCTATAATTTTTTTAATGTACCAACAAACTGGGGGAAAAGAGTGTTATTAGAGTGGCAGGAATAAAGAAAAAGAAGGCATTAATGCAACTGTGTTCACATTTTAGATAAGATCATTCTTACTGGGTCACAAGCTACTTAACACAGGACTATTATGCTTGGTAACCCCCTAATAAAGCACCTAGAAAAAGTGCCCTGCATTTGACTGAGTCTCCTAAATATTGCAGTATGGATTGCCTTTTTTCATTGAAATTCTACTTTTCTGAAAAAAATAATAGTAATAATAGCAACAAGAACATTAAATTCCAATGAGTCTATTTTCTTTCAGAAAAAGGCTGTATTTTAGAAACGAGTGACATGACTCAGATGCAGATCTCCAGAGGTCCCTTCCAACCCCTACCATTCTGTGATTCTCTGCTACAGGAGGAAACTGTTCCTGTACAATGAAGTACTCCCTTCATGTGAACAGCTCAAATAAACCCCAAGCACATCATATTTGTAATTTTATATGTAACTAACAAGGCTAGTCACGGTTCCTGGAGTGCATTTGTTCAAGAGCTACAAGAACATGGGTTCAGAAGGAGCTGTAGGAATACATTAGCAGAAGTCTTGGGCTTCTTCCAGGCAGCCACACAAACTTCAACAGCTTTAAAGTTTGAAAGGGACACGGTAAGGTCACGCTGTGTTACCATGAGAAGTGGCAACAATAAGGGAGGTAGCAACAAGCAAATGCCAAGAGGGGTGGGAAGGCAAAAAACCCCAAGATTAAAACATTACTTGCTCTGGAAAAATCAAAATAGCGTTAGTCCATAGTGTCATTTCGCATGTACTACTTGCTGTTTTACTTTTCACTTATTTGCATATTAAAATCAATAGAATTAATACAAGAATCAAAGGAAGGCTGCTCTTCTTTTGTTGACTGAAGCCAGGTAAACAATTCTGGTTTACTAGGGAAGACTCGCTCACAGTAAGTAACAACGAAGATAATTTGCCTTGCAACTCTCTGCATGATGTCAGACCCGGTATTTATTTTCGCACTGTGGAGGGGGACAAAGGAGGAAGGAAGGGGTGGGGGGAGCTTCAGAGAACAGTTAACTTACTACTGTACCTGAAACCTACATTACTGTACCTGAACAACTTTCACACATGAGTATGTATTTTTGCAGCAGATATTTATGGTTACTGTACAGCAAAGAGCAAGATCTTTCAAAAGAACTGAAAAGTTACCCTCAGAGGGTTGGGGGGTTTTCTGACTGGGTATAAACACGATAGTCTGCTAGAAATCTACTTACGGCTGAGTGAGGTCACGAGTAATGAAGTCTGAACTCTTGAAGAGGAGGAAGATGTCACTGAGAGCTTTACATTTCAGAGAGCTGTTCATTGCTATCCAGTAGGCATCCTAAATAAAAGAGATTATCCAAAAAGGCCCCTTTACTAGCAGGAAGGAAAGCAAGCTGCAGATCTATCTAAATATTATGTAACATTTGAATTACACCTGAAAATTATGCTTTTTGATTTTGAGGAAAACTTCATTAGCTGTTAGAAGAGATACAATAGTCATTGCTTTTCTTACGAATACTCTGTTGAAAGCAGAGCAAATCCATTTAAAAAACTAAGTTTTTGCCTTACTGCTTCCAGGCACTCTCTTGGAATGCTTGATTGAACACAAGCTTCCCTTCAGAACATGCTACAAAAGCACCCACCCATCCTTAAGGTATAGTCAGAGTGCCTAAAAACAACTAGAGAGAAGTTTATTGCTTTTTTAAAAAATGTGGAGGTTTTAATCTTTATCCCAGGCAAAGTTTTCCACTAGTATCCTAAACGAGAAGAGTCTGACCATCGTACCGTTACCTGTGACAGGAATACAGGGTTTTATATAAGAAAGACAGCGCTGTCTTGTATCACCAAACAGTGCACCATCTAGCTCTAACCCACCAGAACCATTTTCTGTATCATACTTTACTGGTATCTTGCCTATCATTTCTCCCTTCATCAGAACCACTAGTCTCTTCTACTTTCCAATGCATTAAGACAAAACAAACAAATAAAATCCATACAATAAGATCTGCTACAAGTTTTGGAAATCAGCATTCTTACCCTTGGAGCACTCCAGTTAAGTTTAGGAAAAACACTACCACCCAAGGAACTTATTGCTTCTTGAACTTTAGCTGTGAACTCAGGAAATTCTGGTGCCTGAACAGAGAACAACAACAACAATATCCATTTCAATACATTTAATTCATCATACATTCAATATATTTAATAGCCATCTTTTAAATACCGTTAGAAATACATATTGTAGAAGGAATGAACATGTCCAAAATCAGGAACCAAGAACCCCACAAAAATAATGTATTTGCAGAAATAAATCACTTAAGAATCAACTCTGACATTCTTTCAGTCAGAGGAAATTGAAAATACGTTTTTAGTTCTCACTCTCATCACTAGCAATATTCCATGAACTTCAGGGGAAAACCCAAAATTCCATAATGTTCATCATGAAAGCTGCAACAGCTGGCAAACAGGCAAGTCAAACGAACAGACCTTAAATACATACCTGCTGGTTTATAGCTGATGGTAGATTATTGTATACAAATAAGATCCAATGAGATTTAAAACCAAACAAACTTTCAAAAATAGTTTGCTAAGAATTAAGCATCTCTTTAAAAAATCTAAATACAAACATTGGAGCATTCTGTCAGAGTATTAAAAGGTAGAAAGAGATCAGTTCTGTTTTGTCATAGTTCTCTAGTTGCATTTAGGAGCACAGCAAGAGAGCAAAAGTAAACAACATATAGGCAATTTGAACGACGGCTCCTCATTTAAGCTTTAGTTTTACAAAATGTTGTTAGTAATACTTTAACTAATCAGCCTTTAAATTAGGTCTTAAAGTAGCTTAACAATATATTGCATCAGAAGAGAGAACACATTGCAAAGGTATGGGGGTTGGACTAGAAAACCTTGTCTTGTAAAGAACATTGTCAATATTGTAAACGTAAGCTAGGGAAAAAAACCTCCTCAGGATGCTATAAACTGCACTCTGAATGTGATACAAGAGAAAAAAATACCCAGATTGCTGACCTTTAAAATAATACGAAGGGATTTCAGGTATATGCCAAAGATTTTTCATGTAATAGGATTTATAGCAAAACGTATATAAGAACACTATTTCTGCCCAAGTATTTTTAAATTCAACTTGAAGATGACTTCTAGGCTAAAGCTAACTAATGTCTCTAAAACAACAAAGCCCTCACAGCTACACAAGTGATCAAGAAAAGTTCATACGTTTTGGCATCTCCTTTCTGCAGCTCCCCCCCCCCCAAACGCAAACCCTCTCACATTTTAGTGCAGTGACCTGGACTGAACTTCAAACATTCCAAATCTTTCCTTAGTACGTTACCTAGTCTCCATGGGAAACTACACTTGAAAAACTGAAAAAGCACTTCTTTTATTTTACTTTATTTTTAGAGCTTCAGTCAATTCTAGAAATTGTTCCTGAAAGAAGTAAAGCTCCTCATCCACTGCACTCTGATCCAATCTCCTGTTGTTTTGACAGAAGTCAGGAGTCATACTATATATGTAATACCAGCACATACTAAGCCTCCCTGGGGAAATGTTACTATCATGTCATTTGACTAATGCAAGTGAAGAAAGATACCCAAGAGGACAGCTCTAAGGCTGCATAAACAAGCTAGACTCTAGCATCTCCTAAACTGTGAATGCCTGACTTTGCAGCCATCAATATTAATGCACGCTTTTTTTAAACACAGCATTTTCTATCATCTTATATTCTAATTCTTTTTCAGATTATAGAAGGGGCAAGAGAAACAAACTACCTGATGACTCAGGTGGGTCATCAAATCAGAACAATCACAACCACAGCTCACCTCACTACTCCCTGAGACAAGAAACCAAGAGGATTATAACCTGGGACTTATTGTTAGCAAGACCCAAATGCCCTAGGCTGACAGCAAATGCAGAACAGCAGTCTCCAGCCTGCCCACTACTCTTTACCCATTATGTTCCCTAGTGTGTCCCTGTTCAGCTCCCACATTGCTACTTGATCCATTCTCATCTCTTGTGGTAACTCCAGATGCAGCTCCCCACCCTTCTGCATTCTACGCAGGCTGTTTCCTCGCTCTTCATCACTGTCAAAGACTAACAGGCAACACTTAAAAGCACAGAAGATTATTTCCCTTCACTCATTGGCCTCAGAGCAGTACCTAGGCTTCAGGTAGAGAACACACACTTGCCATGGATGGAGTCTTCAGAGCAATCATCCACCAAATTTACGAGATGGTAAAAAGCACACTGTGAAATTTCACTTTTAGAGTCTTTCTTTGACCAAATGTAGGCATATTTTTGTAGGAACTAGCCATGGGCACAAACCATGTTCATTATTAATGATTTTCAAAGTTCCAGGTCTGGCAAAAAACAAAGCCCTGCCACTCTCCGAACAAGAACCACCTCGGAGGCCAAAACACCCCTCCTCTTCCTCTACCCCTGTTTTTATTGCTGAGCATGATGTTATACAGTATGGAACATCCCTTAACACAGTTTGGGTCAGCTGTCCTGGCTCTGTCCCTTCTCCCCTACCCCTAGCCTAGTTGCTGGGGAGGGTTGTGGGGCAGACTGGGAAAAGAGAAAGCCTTGATGCTATGCAAACACTGTTCAGCAACAGCTGAAAGTGAACTCCATCCCAGTCAGCCCCAGTAAAACACTACTTGTAAAGCTGCAATCCGTACACAGGACACAATGCTTACCCAGCCAAACTGAAACCACCTGGCCTACACCCTTCTGATGAGTATCACACCTCTTGATTATTTACTTCCTTACTGTGTTGTACACTATAATGAAACCTGATTCAAAAGTGTGATATTTTTTCACATAAGATGGATAGCAAAATCCTTGTTCTGAATAATTTACAATCTAAGGCATCTACTTTATCAAAGCTTAGATATTCAAACTGAAGGTATCAGTGCGTGCAAATTTGGCGTCTATTAGTTTTAAAATCTAAGCTATAAATTGTGCAGTAGCGCAAGCACAACTCAAAGCACGGCCGTGCTTATACTGCACCTAATCCAGTGTCAGCAATTCAACACCATGATGAACACTAGGGAGCTAAGAGGACTTAGGAAATAGTGTCAATGGCAGATAAGTGACGCAAGTATATTAACCTTGACAAGATAGGGCAACAGCAGGTTTCAAAAAAGATGTAAAAAAAAGATCAAGGAAGCCTGGTTCGCATCCACCATGATCCTGATGCCAAGCCAGGCATGGTGCAAGGAGAGCATAAAGACAGGAAAAAGAAAGGGAAAAAAAAACAACAGATAGAAAGAAATTTACTTGGGAGGAAATAATGGCACAGGTATAAGAGAAGAGCTGTGAAAATTGAGCTGCAGGGGCTTGGTTTCTTCTGCATCCAGCCTGATTAAGTAATTGGGAGATATTCAAAGTGGTGAAAATGAAAGACAGCTATATTTAGAGCCATACTTCAGTTCATTTCCTATAGTCTAACAAGTGTGTGATTGTTGGGGATGAAGAAAAGCATTTTATTTTTAGTTAAATAAAATTAAGCCAGCAAAACTTTTTAAAGTTACAGACATCTACACTGCCATGTGTCTAGAACGGTCTGAAAAATGTTAAACACAGCAACAGATATCTCTAACTGGCAACAAGTTTATATCGCAAGGTTGCAGAAAGGACCCACACGTTAGGCTTTTAAGGATCTTACCTTAAGTGTTGTAGTATTCTCATCGTCTGACCACTGTTAAAAATAACAACAAATCAAAGGTTACTGGTTTCCTGAGACATCCTTTATAATTTATGAGAACATCAGAATTCAAATGGCTTCCTACAATACATAGATCAAATCATTGCCCTGGAGCTCCTGTAGCATAACATCATCATCTTCCAATTACTATGGCTGGAAATATATTGTATATTCTGCTGAAGTACTACTCTAAAGTATGGATAAAAGAAAACAATTATGTATTTTAATTGTGATTTATATCACAAATTGAACATTTCAGAACTCGTCTTCCTTGTCTGAAGCTTGTCTCCAGCTCCAGCACTTCCATCCTTAGATCCGTGATCCATTAGTTTCACTTGTATTTCTTTTTTCATCTCCTTTTCGTACCTTCTGCCACCTTGCACTATTTTTCAGCGTTTTTCTTCTAGAATACTCTTCTGAGCCATTATGGCCTCAGAAACTTTCATTGTTTCTTAAAATAACTCCTCCAAATGTACTCCTCCTAATTTTTCAGGGCATGAAACAGCATTAAGCTCAATTCCAACATCCTTCAACATTCCCTACTCACTATTACAAATGCCATTATCAAGACATAAAAAAAAAAAGTATTCTGTGAAAGAGCATAGAAACATTTCAAACATTCCCTGATGTAACAGTATAAATAATGACTTTTGAAGTTTTTCAAGGCAAGTACCATGTGATTATTATTTTTGTGAAGTACTCTCCTCACCTATAAATTACGCAGAAAAGGTTACATATTCATAGTTTTCTCAAGAGACTTGACATTAAGTTGCATTTTATACTGACTTGTATTTCCTCTGCATCGTCACTCCCCTCCTGACCATGACTTGGTGGATCTTCTCTAAAACAAAAAATCATCAGGAAAATAAATTAAGCACTGGAGTTTGAGTTGACACTACATTTCCACAGCATTTACCAGCTGTTAATCTCAAAACATTTTTGTAAGAAGATTAAGCCTCAAAACCCCTTGCAGAGAAAAATCAGAGCAAGCCAGTACAGAAAACTGAAGATCGAGCACCCTGGCACTAGATTTGGGTCCTACCCAAAACATTTTGCTTCTTTCAAAATAGCAGATCACTTTTTGCTCTGAAAACACCATAATCAAAGCTTTACAACACCCTATTAATCATTCTTTTCCAATTTTACTGTATTCTGACAGAAGCACAAATTAAACAAACTTTGTTTTTTTTAAAACAAATTCTATTTAAATTACGCTTTGCCTCCATACTCCGTTTCCAAGTAAAAATTTATAAAACTTGAGTTTCAGATGTTGACCTGTGAATTTCTGGTTCTGAAATGAAAATGTCCTCGCATTCCACGCATGGAAAAAAAGATCCTACAGAAGCTGGATACACAGTCATTAGCTTCTACCTGAAAAGTTCCTTTTTCTACACAGCTGAGATCTGCTGTTGTAAACACTAGCGTATCTGGGAGAAGGCACTTTACTGCAAATATTCCTTTGGAGTTTTAGGTGACCTCAAGTTCTTTAGCCAGTATGTGTGAAGATCTTAAAGGAGAAGACCAAGCTCTTGAAGAAGACTTATTCACAGCAAGTCAGCACAGCAAACAGCATAAACTCAAACGCACGTCCCTGCCAAAAGCCAACTTCAACAAGCTAAGTCTCGGCAGTCCCTTAATGCACTTCCATAGGGATTAAACTATCAATTCAGGTTTTGAGCTCTAGAGGTCAGATACCACTTCACTAAATATTAAAAGCGATCTTGCCGTTGACTGCAAGATCACCACATTGACTTCGAGCTAAGAAAGTTCAACTCAGAGAAAAATTGGCTTCTAAAAGGGATTTTAAATTGAATCACCTTTAAAAATATCATTTAAGTCAATTATACAGCTGTCCATTATTCCACTGAAGACAGCAGAAATTGTTCGTATAACAAAGCTGTAAAGTCAAACCCTCAGTTTCAGCTTTTCTGAAGGCTTATTAAAAAATAAATGGCTGCTGCTGAACAAGTTGCACAATTCTGCAGAAGCAGGTGACGATATTACTTCCTACCCAAAATGGTTTAAAAAATAACTCTAATTTTCTGGATACCTTTCATTAAAAAAAAATAAAATAAAATAAAAAATTTAAAATTAGAAAGGACCTTTCATCTTCACAAGGTGTTTAAACAGCTTCAATTTTATATAAATTGATTCCTAAGAAGTTAGAGACAGCTCCCTTACACTCACAGCCTAATTGGTTGCTCTGTGAGAGGCAAACTACCAGTTAGGAAATGATGGAGTGTGGACTGATTTCTGAGCCCGATCGTTAACAGGATATATGCATGCAACGGTCACTTTACAGGAAGCCATCTACCGAGATTCTAAGCAGAAAACAAGGAACTGTTTCTGGGTTCTTAGCACCTGTTTCTCATATCTATCCACCTCATTCTTCTCCATCCAAAAATCTTGGCATAGGTATACAGACAGGACATTCAGCTTCGTCATACGTATGGATTACATGTGTGCAAATGATTATACACAGTAATTACTAACATTTTATATATAGCTTATCTTATCAAGAAGGCAACTCGGGTAATGTCACTTCACCCCTAGATAAGGCAGCAGGCATGTGAATGGCACGGGACAGATCAAGCCTCTGAACTGGAGCTAACCATATCAGAGCAACCAAACACAGACCAGCAGGCTGTGCCCCTGAGAGACTGGTAACACTCCACAAGGAAAGGTGGAGAAAAAAAAAATGAAAGAACTGCCTACTTGGTCTAGAATAAAGCATATTAGATGGATTTTAGGATCTGTACCAACAAGTCAAGTTTTACTAACAGCAACAGTCAGCCCATTCAGATGCTCAGACAGCACAACGTTTACTGCAGCCAGACTGGTCAATTTTAAAAACTCATTATGCAAAATATAATATGTGTATACACACTAACACTGTGAATAAAAAATAGTATTCATACTTGGAGGGGGGGGGGGGGGGGGGAATACTTTTTACCTTCCAGAAACCACAAGCGTTCCATCATCCAGCAAATATTCTTTCACATTCTCTGGCAGGGGAAGTATAACACTGGAAGAAACACGAGAATTTCCTTAATAATTTAGTATTAATATTACCTGTTAAAACAATAACAAAAGTTAAATAAAAAGAATTTGTTTTTTAATACAACATACCTCAATAACAAGATGTTTTATTCTCTAACACTATGGAAAAAAAAAAAAAATTCTCTTTCTCCCTTCTCATCCCTTCCCAAAAAGCAATGCCCATTTTCCCTCCAGGGAAGCAGAGGAGAAAGAGGCAAAAATTTTAAATTAAATGTACAAAAATGCCCCACTCCTTCAAAACTCTGAGAAATTCAAATAGAGAGTGTGTGGCCAGTGAGGAGGAGACAACATGTTGCTCAAACTAAAGGTTTCTCTTCTGAGATCCAAACCACGATTTGTCTATACCACCCAACTGTTCCAAAAATGCAGGACTATCACTAAACTTAGCAAAAATACGTATGTGCTAAACTCTAAAACCCATAAAAGATTAAATGTTTTAATTACTAAACCTGACATCAGCGCTTCTTCATCCAACAGGGCAACTATCCCGAGCTTGACTTTCCTGAGTTACTGGTAGTCCTCATAACCATCTCATGACCCACTGCAGCACCTCAGAAACTGCAGAATTTGCTACAGCTTCCAGAAACACACAGAAACCCAAAGGCAGACGACTGTTTTGGGTGTGTTCGGCCTCAGTTTCTTTGACCAAGCGGGAACAGCAGTGGATGTGGACATCAGCTGGTGCGCAGTGCGGTGTCCCACCAGGAGAGCACAGGGGTGCCTGGCCTGCCCCCGGGACTGCCCAAAACACGCCCTCGGGGTGCAGGGACAAGACCCCAGCTCCTGAGGCTCCAGCTGATCAAGCCTTCCTCACCTCCATCCCAGCTCTGTCCCACACAGGTCCCCTCTATCTCACCCAACCCTGCCCCAACACAAGCCCATTTCCAACCCAGCTCTGCCCCACAGGCCTCCCCACCTTCACCCCCACACAGCTCCTCTACGCCCCCCACACCCCCGCTTCTCCCGGCCCCTTGCCCGGCCTAGGCCTA